AAGAGTTTTACAGGGAACACTCCTCGTCTAGTTTCTGTCACTAATCCTCCCTCCTCCCCTCTTGTTTTCGCCTGCTTTAGCACATGTCTAGCCATCCCTGCAGGTGTCGTATTATAAGCCAGATATCCCGTTCATAAAATCATTTATTTATTTATCTACTTGGTGAACAAATTTAGCAGATACTCTGCCAGGCATTGAGACTATAAAAAGACTATCTCAAGGACATTTTCCCTTCAGGCTCTATCACAATTTGATCGGGAAGTAACAGGCAGTGTGTAAACGGAGATAGAAAGAGATGGCCATGAATTAGCAGTGACTCAGCAGAGGCATCAAGGAGGAAGTAAACTTGAGCTGGGCACTGGAAGATATGAGGGGGCTTCAAAAAACTTGTGGGAACATTCCATGATCTTTCCATTTAATTCTTCCATGAACGTTTTCAAGTCCCCTCATCTGAGCCAGCTTGCTGAGAAGACATTGAGAAACGGGCCGTTCCAGGTAGAGAAAGAGTTGCCATCGTCATGGAAACATGAAGGTTGCGTTGGTCACAGTAGGTTGGCAGCTGGTTGAACGCTAGGGATGGAGCCACAAAGATAGGGATGGGGACTTGGTTTTAGAGGGCCTTAGAAGCACTGGAAGGTGCCCAGGTTATTGCAGTGAGCAGCTGACTGCAAGGTTGGCAGTTTAGACCCACCCACTAGTCAATGGGAGAAGGATGATTTTTTTTTTGCTCCTCGAAATATTTTTAGCTTCAGAAACCCACCGAGGCAGGTCTACTCTGTGCTATCATGTCACTCTGAATCAAAATGGATGTGATGGCAGTGAGTTTGAATCTTTGACAGACATTGGAAGTAAGTCTGGACTATATCTCTAGAACGTAGGGAAAACATGATGGTAAATTGAAAATGTTATGTGCAAGACGGCAGAGTATAAAGGGGTGGAAGGAGGAGGGCCTTGATTCGGAGGAGGGTTAGATGCCCTTCTCTAGGAACTGGTTCCTCCTAATAGCAAGTCCCAAGTCCCTGAGACAGCCCCACCATCCTCACTGCCAGAGAGCATTCTGGTTCTATGTCCTCCAACACAGATTTGTTCACTCCTCAGACAGCTCGTGCAAATGAATATTCCAAGCCAGCATCATACTTCAGGGCCAGCAGTTCTTCTTTAGATTTCCTTATTCATTGTCTAGTGTTCACATGCAGATCAAGTGATGGAAAAATAAGAGGATTTGAATCGGGCACACTTTAGTCCTCAGTGACCTATTTGCTTTTTAACATTTTGAAGAGTTTTTTTTTTTAATTCAGGTTTACTTAATACCTCACTTGATTTCTTGGCTGCTGTTTCCATGGGCATTGAGTGCAGATTCATAGAAAATCAAATCGTTTACAACTTACATAGTCTCCCTATTTATCATAATGTTGGCTA